AAGGAAGAGCATCCTCTGTTTACCTGTTCATTTGCTAAAATCCCCCAAACCGCACCTTTCTAGGCTCTCTGAATCAATCTGGGACTGAAGCCAAAGTTACCTACTATATAAGACTGACAGAGCACAGGTGAACTACTCCTCCTGACCAACTTTAGAACCGACATCCTTGTGCCAGACTCCACTCAAGATGGGGTTTGGCAGGGGGATATTGGTACCAGAATGGGCTTTCCTGTTAGCAGTTTGCTGTATCCATCAGATAGGTAAGACATTCTCTTTTTTTATTGGGAAAGAAGTAATACTCAGGTTAGATCTAGTAATATATTTTAGGCAACTATACCCATTTTATTGTTCACTTAACAGATGGTTGCATTTAAACAAGATTTTTTTTTTCAATTTTCATTAAATATTTAGTATCTGTTTATTAACTGGACTGATTTAATTTAATATTGCCTCAAACTACTGCATATAACTACATTTGAAGGTAACCTTGAAGATCAAATAAAAAAGAACCATTATTCATGTCTTAAAATGTCATGTTTTCAGTATTGCTTACGCCTTACAAAAGAATTTTATTCCTGTTGCATTTTGTATTAGGATTGATTGTGAACATTATGTTTTTTAGGAAATTTAAAACACTGCATTTTCCAGTTGCCAGATCAGCTGGTCAATCTTTTTTAGTATCTTGTCACCTACCAGGAACTAATACCAGATTCCTCAATATTTCTTGCAATTTCTTTTGCAAAAGAGACTAGAATGGAATACTCATGTGGCAATGATTTTCAGTAACTAATTGTGCATTAATAATACCCTATGCAAAATATTTATATGAATTACTGATATTGAGTGTGAGCAGGACTGGGAGATTTATCTGACACATGCAGTCCATCATTTTGTATGGTTTTTTTTCTCCTGTTAATATTATATCCATCAGGACTGGTCTCGGCAGTTTTTATTAATATGAGTAACCCTATTAAGTCAATGGGACCACTTAAATTGAAATTACTTGTATGAGTACAAGCTTGCAAAGTCAGTCCCATTCATGCACAGTAATTACTGCCCTGTCAGCTAACATTTTAAAATCTTCAGATTGCCTATGTAAATTTATCTTGCATATCATTTTCAAAACATTGAAAAGTGCAAATATAATTTTAGGCTACTTTATAGTTTGTGAAATAAACACTAAAATGCCAGCAAGTTGATTTAAGCACAAAAGACAACACTCACTTAGAGTATAGGCTTACGTTTAGAGTTACACAATGTCAGTCAAAAGCATCTTCAGCCACTCATTGAACAAGAAAGTTATTTGTACTGTGCAAGGCTATTCTGATAAATTGCTTTGAAAAATGAGTAGTGATCAGACAGTGTCCAGCAAGCTTCTCTTTATTCAAATCAAACTCTGTGGAAAATATTTTCAGATGTCCTGAGTGACTAAAGAATATTGGCCCAATGCCATGCCATGTCCACAAACATTCTGTGCCTAAGTTTATATTTTGGGTCAAATACTAACTTTGTAATGATAATTGTGTATGAGGATTGGCAGCTGGATATAGGCTTAGCAAGGTGCCTCCAGAAATATTATTAATAATTAGGTCAGTTCCCAAATGATCAAATAGTAAGTTATCTTGACTATTCTTACAACTGAGAGACACTTATTTTTATAATGCTCAACAGTGCAGCATTGTGCAATTGCTAAATAAACCTATGCAGCTAGAGTTTCCTTGGGAATGATGTATTTGCAAAGTAAACAAAGCCCCTGCTGTTTCCTTGAGAAAAATTAACAGACCAAAATACAGGTATATACTATTTTGCTCTGTTACAAAGGTTCTCATGCTAGAATAAACAAACCTTCTATGATTCTATGCCTGCTGAGATTCCTATAGATCTGTTGGGTGAGAGCAAATTCTGGCCTATTATTAAGACTTACAGAGGCCTTTGTCTCACCTGATTAGTATCAGTTTTTCTTACCTGATCAGTATCAATTATAATGATAAGAATGCATTTACCTAATGATTTTATCTGTGATACTGAAAGACTAACAGGAAATGGAAAATGGTTAAACTCTGCCCTAAGTTACTTCTTTGTACACCCTTACTGGTGACGCATAAAGTTAAATGAGAAAAGAATTAAGAGCTGCAGACACTGCAGCAACTTCTAAAATGGTAAGGCTGCTCAGAACCTTCTCCGCCAAAGCCAGGAGTCTCTTGGGGACCTCTTTGGGAGTGGGGGACATGAATCCCTTCAGACAGGTATCCTTCAGCTCTGCGATCAAGTACTTAATGTATTTACATGGTGGGTACAGCCAGAAGTTACATTAGAAAAACAATAAAATAAAAAAGGTGCTCCTGATCCCGTTATTTTTAAGGCACAGGTAGTTGCCCAGCTCTCATGGAGGTATCTGGGCTGAGGTTCTTAAATGAAGGAAATGCTCAACAAGGAATGTAAGCATCAAAGGGGACTGGGGTTTATGACACACCCCTGACTTCAGCATTTCCCCCTCTTCCACCACTGTGGCTCCCTCTTCAGTGAGATGGGTGTTATGGATCTAGTTCTAAGTCAGTGAACTCTTCCCACCTAATGTATAAGGAAAAAAGGGTCTCAACCTAGGGCTAAATTACGTAGGCAGTTCGTCTTTGACTGAGAAATTCTCCAGACACCTAGAGTGCTCATACACGTAATCCTAATCAGGATTCAGATATTAGTAATTTCATCACTTAAATCCTTTCAGGATTTAGACTTGGCAGGTTATCAGTAGATGTTAGTCAACATGTTCCAAGCATGGTTATCACAGGCCAATAGGATTCAGTCCTTCACAAAATATATTTGTAGCCATTTTTCTTTTACAGGAAGTGCCTGCCATATTTATTTATAAAAGACAAGAGCTTGGAACACCAACTGTAGGCTCAGGATCAGCTTTTTCGTAGGCATAGAAGTGTTCAGGTCAATATTTGTCATGTCTCAAAAGTCTTTACCAATACTTCCTCTAGTATTGCTGGGCCGTGCACGGAAAGGAATTAAAAGTTTTTAAACTCATGATAGAGAGAAAGAGAGCTTACCTGGAAGACAGTTTATGTAGTTGATCCAGTAGCCATTTAACTAGAGGTACAAAACTAATCCTTGAAGTAAAGCAGAAGGATAGGACAGTTTAGATGTAGCTCAGTGCCCCAGTCATGTGATCACATGATGGTGGCCTATTTTTTCCTCCTTTATCGCTGTACCACTGATTTCGGCACTGTGTCTCAGCTTCAGATGAGGTAGCAAATAAAAATATTGGTCAAATATACTTACATTATGATGCTTAAGGTTTTCTGCAGAGATGTGAGTTTGAACCACCTCAGAGTGAGAAGAGAGGTAGAACAAGAAACCTGGTTCTTTCTGTTACTTCTCCTGGGTTGCTGCTCAGGCTATGGGCCCTTGTGCTCAGAGGTACCTTCTTGCATCCAGCTGTAAAGCAAATCTAAGTTCCCAATTGAGGCTTTATATTTGCTCCCAAAGAAGAGGCCCTATGCTTAGGCACTAACGGAACTGACATTACTGGATCAAGCCCTAAGTCTTTTGTTTCTTTTAACCAGTTCTTTGCCTTTTCTTGTTGTTACCTAGCTACTACACAGCAATTTTAATAAATGACTGTCTTACATGTTGTGAATTCTTCCTGTAATTGTTTCACATATTAGTGAGACAGTGCAGCAGTAAAATAAGGGCTGTGATCCAGTCATTAGAACCCCTTGTATTGAGTTTTAAGAGAAACAATCAAAGCAGATATACATGAAATGTTATTTGGATTTCAAACTCTGTGCATTTGTAATAGAAAGTCTCTTTCTATAATTACTTTTTACCTTTTTTGGGGGCCTGTTTCCTTTTTTCTGATGTGATAAAGGACTCTCCCCTTTGTCTTACAGAGATGTATCTGGGTCCTTTGATTCTATATAAATGCTTTGCTTCAGAAGTCCAGATACAGGACATTGTACTTACCATGTTTTTTACAATTTCTTCACAGGAGCCCAAATTGTAATCCAACAGGAAACGGGAAGTATAGACACCGAGGTTGTTCAGCAGAAACAAAACAGTACGTTCGTTTGTATAGTGTATTTGTATTTATTTGCTACAGCTCTACTAAATAATAAAAATGCCTAAAAAAAAACCTTAGCATATTGCCAGTAATGTCAAATGAAGATAAATATGTATTAACAAGCCTCTCTATATATAAAAATAGTAATATCTTTATTAGATACCAATAACCAAACACACACAGTATGGTTATATTTGTATAATAATAGGTAACTAAGAAAAAAGATGTGTGTTTGTAGAGGCTGTGTATGTATGTGCATGAATATGCATATTCAAAATCAAAGCGGAATATACTTGCAGGATGTTTGGTTCCTCATAAACAAGGAAATGGGACCACTTTTTCAAGCTGGAAAGTCAGTGGCTGATGTTAGGCAATCAAGATGGCAACCCGACTTCATTGATTTTTACCGTGTAATGATTTGTGATCATCCTGTACAATGCATTTGTGGTTGTTTCTAAGAGTCCCTTAACAGAAAAATATTAAATGGACAGCAAAGGGGATTATTAAAGTTTTTATTCCCTCCTTAGAAAGAGGAGGTATAATGAGAAGGCAACTATGCTTTTGTACCAGTAACAGGCTAATTTAGTACAGCTTAACCCTTTGTATTGTTCAGGGTGTTCGAAGCACTCCAATATATAGAGCTGTGAATTTTTGCCTCTCCTAACACAATACAGAGTTTCATTAAAGGGTCAAAATTAAAAGGTAGAAAATGCAGATCATCACAGTTGAAAGCAACTTCTTATGATTTAACTACCCTGATTTTGAATTTTAGTATGCACTTTTAGCCTGATCTGTGGCCTGTGTAAAACAAAACAGGTTTAACACTGTTTCATTGGCTTGGCATATTTACTTTTTAGTCCTTTCTAGGTGAATTTTGGGTGCAAATTTTGGTGTTGTTATACTAGTTTTTATTGCCTTTCTTGCTTTTTTCTAGCTTCTGCTACAGTTTCATCTAAGATCAACATCATTCAGCCAATGCTGACAAATCTAGTAATAACACGTAAGTAAAGGAAATTAAATGTATTCAATGTTTTCTATTTTAGGGGATGTAGACAGAGAAATTTATCAAAAATAGGGAAAGGCATTGGTAAAGGAAGTCATGGATTAGGAACAGGAGAAAGAGGGTGGTTAAGAAATATAACATTGAACTGTTATCTTAGCTGAAAGGTGGACAACTACTAAAGCTCTAGCTGAACGTAACTATAGCCGTTTATAAGGGTATACAAGATGAGTAACAGATATGAGCAATGAATGAATACACAGTTTTATAATGGACAGATGGACAGAAAATAACAAATGAAGGGAGGCAGGTGAAAACTATTCAATGACAAAATGAAGCCTTGGACAAGTTGATTTCGTGATGTTAAGGCTGGGAATTTTAAGTCATCTTTTTACAGCTAGTTTTAATTCACAGCTTCCAATCCTCCTCACAATGGCCGCGTGTGCAGCACGTGGGGCAACTTCCACTTCAAGACCTTTGATGGAGACATATTCTCCTTCCCTGGGCTGTGTAATTATGTTTTTGCATCCCATTGCAATGCCCCCTATGAGGATTTCAACATCCAGATTAGGCGTGTAGTGGTGGCAAATGCTCCAACAATCAACCGGATCACCATGAAACTTGAAGGTGTAGTTGCTGAACTAACAAAGGATGTTGTCATGATCAACAGCAACAGGTAAGTTTATTCATAACATTAGTTTGGTGACCACAGACCTTTTTTTTTTTTTTTTCAAACTTGCCAAGTACTTTTGTGTATTTGGGGGGAAAATTATGTGTTCTTCAATAAATCTGACAATTTTGCCAACATAAATACGGAATAAGTTGCTATTAATTCCTTTCACAGTAAATAAATTCTTCCCTTAAAGATTGCCACAAAAATAAAATTTGGATTAAAAATCCTGAGAGGTTGGATCCAAATTCAGATCCATATCTGATGATGTTGGACCATCTTATTTTTTAATCGGTTCTCTTTCCACACGACTATATTATTTCAGAATCCCTACAGATGCTGGATACCACAAGCTATTTTTTTCTCTTTATCAAATATCTGGATCAGAAAATACCCAACATTCTTTCTGCCTTTTCCCAGAATTCAACTGCCATACAGCCAATCTGGAATTACAATAGACAAGAGCAGCATTTATGTGAAAGTTGCCAGCAAAATGGGTATTGTGTTAATGTGGAATGAAGATGACAGTATTCTGGTAAGAACTGCTCCGGGACTTGTATACACCTTCAGAGACCAGAGCTAATCTTTGATTAGGCCAGGCCCTATCTGTTTAGGGGGTTACTATTGCCTTCCCATCTCATATTGTTGATCACTTATTTCTTAATAGAGATAGGTTTGCATCCAGGTAATCCTAAAGAAAATTACATGGATTTACTACTCGTGGATAGCAGACGTCTGCTTAAAATAGGGTGAAAAATCACTTTCATTACATTGTTAACGTATGGACATTGTTATATAGGGCCTACTTACTCCTTCAAATATCGTTTTCTAACAGAATTTCACACTGTTAGGAGTTCATTTTTGCTGTGGATTTGATTTTCTTTCTGAAGAACGGATAGAGAGAAAGAGGCTGAGAGCAATATAGATATTGCAGTGAAAGCTTAAGTCTGCATCAATAGCTTGGACTCTGCATTGTATATCAACTCCAGGCCAACTCTTCACTCTCTCCCCCAGGTTTGAATTAGATTGCTAAATAAAATTACACAGATCTGATGAAAAATACATACAGGCAGCAGATGCAGGTCCTTTCAGTGATCTTGAATAGATTTTAGAATGTTTATACTAACTTCCATCAACTTTCTGTCCATCATTTTAGCTGGAATTGAATGAGAAATATGCCAATCAGACCTGTGGACTTTGTGGGGACTTCAATGGCTTTCCAATTTACAATGAGTTCTATTCAAACAGTAAGTTTTTTAAATTAAAAAAAAATGGTTTCTGGAGTCCTCAAAGTGCTTTTTTTTTGGTATTCTTTTAACACTAACATCATCCGCATCCCTCTTCCTATACTGTTAAATGATTACCCAGAAGACATGATTCAATCTCTGTTGGAAAAATCTGCATTACAGAGATCAGATAATGTGATTTAATACTTTAGGTATAAATAGAGTACTGGTGCTAACAACTGATTGCATATTTCTTGTATGCCATGGTTTTATTTACCTAATCAGCTAACCCCATAAAAATGAGCCAGATTTTTATTAATAACATAAATAAATATATAAATATATTTAATAAAACAAAAGGTAATCCTATTGTCTAAACAGTACATTTATTGTTTCAGTTTTGTTTTAAAAATTGGTACAACCACATTTGCCTGCTGAATCGCATAGTCCTTATAAGATCTTATCTTCATCATTCTTTTTTCCTAAACCTTGTCTCACAGCACTCTCCATTGTCCAAATCCCTGTCTAGGTTCTTTTCTCTTTTCCCTGCATGGGCTCAATATAATCTGAAAACAGTTTCTTATTTTTCTGGTAAAAACCTTAATTTGCATCTAGATGTAATAGGCTGAGAATTGTTTTCTAATGTTTACTTTTTCCAGGGTGCTGTGCAAAGTTAATTGAGACAGTGAGACAGTGCTTCCTATGGAAGGGATGATCATCAAATTTAAAAACTTAAGGGAACTAGCTCATTTGGCCAGTCTTCAGCAGAATTCATAAAAGGAGAAAAAAAATATCAGACTGATGCACTGAACAAAAATGCCCAACCTTCATTATTAAACTTCTTTTGTACAGATATTAAGATGACAGCCTTGCAGTTTGGGAATATGCAGAAAATGGATGGCCCAACAGAACACTGTGAAGACTACACTTCTACCCTGACAGATAATTGCACTGATAATTTTGTAAGGACTTTTTGACTATTCTTTTATTTTTATTTCAAATTTATCTGTACCCTTCTACACCTTCAGACGGGTAAATAGGAAAAGCCCCTGGGTAACAGCAACCTAAAGAGGGACATAAGATTCTATCAAAGAATAATTATACAAAGTAACAATACCAACAAATTGCTACTTCTATTTGCTGGAAGTTGTTTAATTCTTTTTTCTCCCAAGGATGACATATGCCAGAAAACATTGACCAGCTCTGCGTTTGCAGAGTGTAATGAGCTAGTTGATGTCAGAGAGTACATTATGGCTTGCCAAGATGACTTGCGCCGCTCTGAAGTGTCTAAAAACGCCTCATGTATCTGTGACACCTTAGCTGAATACTCCCGGCAGTGTGCTCATGCTGGTGGGCAACCTCTGAACTGGAGAACCTCAAAACTGTGCCGTAAGTATCACTGGAGATAGCCTTACTTTATGCTCAGTAACTAACAAACAACAAGCTCTCAAATGATGTTGAGGACGCATGAGAAATTACAGGTCATTCAAGATTCTCTTCTCGAGAGGGTTCTGATGTACAAGTTCCAACACGAAGACTTCAGCAAAAGAGCTAAGGGTTTGAATGCAAGTTGGACTAAACACTATCAAATACTTAGATGGATACTCTAATTGAGAGTCAAAGTGTTATTTAATTAACTGGGACAGTAAAGGAAGCAAAGGAGAAAGAAGGAGGCACATTTGCATGCTTGTTTTCCTGTTTCTCTCCTTTTCTCATGGTGGCTACAGCTTATTTTATTCTCAGTTATTAATTGTTTGGGTGTTCACAGGTGTTTGGCTGATTAAGCACTTATTTGTCTCCTCTTGCTTGGTAGTGAGGAGTTTTCACCACTGTAAACTTTACCCGCTTAACCGCTGTAGAGATTTGCACCAAATTAAACACATACTAGATCATGGGATGTAGGTGAGAATACTGTCACCAGCATTTCCTCCAAAACAAAACCCCATGAGGTACTATTTGACCTTCCAATGGTATCTGAAAGATGCAAACATACTAAAGCTTTAGAATTTAAGTCTTATATTTCACTAACAATACAGGAGTTCATGAGAAGGGTGCCTTCATTTGAAACACAGGCCTTGCTGACTTTGTGGGGTCATTACCTTGCTGTCCCCAGAAACCCAGTCATTGAGCCAGTTCAGTGCCAGAGAGTCGTGGGAAGAACACCTCAACTGTAAAATATGGATCTAGATGACTAAATTTGCAAATTTTGAGAGCTGGCAGTGGATCTGCAGTTTAGTGTGGTTTTACATCTAGCTGAAAAATGAATATAAATATTTTAATCTACAGTGAACTAGAAATACTTTTGACTGAAAAAAATCTCTCCTCCTTTAAAATTTCAGCCAAGAAGTGTCCTTACAACATGCAGTACCAGGAGTGCAGCTCCCCCTGTGCTGACACATGCACCAATCCTGAACGATCTCAGTTTTGTGAAGAGCACTGTATGGATGGTTGTTTCTGCCCCCCAGGCAAGTCCTTACGTACTTACATCTCTGATCTCAAAGAACAACAGCAGCTTACCTGTAGGATTCAGGCAGGTTCCATGGGGTATAAGCCTTCTGCATTTGCATTTTTCACAGCTGCAAGTGACAAGCATTTGTCATGTCTCAGGTGAGACAAGATATATGAATTAGTTGCCAATGCATGAGCAATATTCAGAAAGCAGGAAAGCAGAACAGCAAACAGACTAAGACCAGTCTCTCAACAAGCCACCTGTGCTACAATAAGCCCCTCTTTCAAAGCAGGTGGAATTTAAGTATACAAAGATTGAATCCTTCACTGTGTAAATTGGCATAGTCCTACTGTCCTCAGCATAGGTATGTCTATTCACGACAGTTGCAGATCTGTCTCTATTTAGAATTTGTAACAAACAAAAATGGTGTATAGTAAATGCCTCTTTAATGGATCATGGGTTTGTCTTTTTTTTTTCATCTAGGGACTGTATTTGATGACATCAACAACTCTGGCTGCATTCCCCAAGAGCAGTGCTCTTGTGTTTACAATGGCAACACCTACGCTACAGGAACTTCTTTTTCAGAGCAGTGCCATTCCTGGTAACCTTTGTTACTTTCCTAACTTACTATTTCCTCTCATATATTTAATGAGCTTAATGGTTTGTTATAGGCAATTGCATCATTGGTAATTGATATGTGTGTTTAACTGACCACTACAGTTCCAAAATATCCCTAAGGAACATTCTTTGTTTTATTTAGCAACAGCCTTAACTAGCTTGGCACTCTAACTCAAGGTGATCAAAGCAGCATTTTACAATGTTTAGATTTCTCACCAGTCAATTAAAACGCTTCCTCTTTGTTTATTTTGTTCAAACATTTGGACTTCTCTAAGGCAAATGAAGTTGCAGTCATTTATGTATTTGCAAATATTTATTTTCTCTGGATAAGGCAAGGGATGACACAATACAACCTTGATTTCACAATTATTAATCCTGTACATGTGCACTACCACATCACCTTAGAAAACAGATATGCTCTGCTCCAGGAGTAGACGTGGGGTTACGTTTCTGTTAGTTGCTGATACCTTTCTATAAAAAAAAACCAAACAGAAGAGATTTGAATTTGTCATTGTGCTTTATGTTAGCTGCAAAAAAAAATTAACTACTCATCCAATGCCTGTTGCTGGAGAGTTCACCTCTTCAAAGAAGGAAAACAATTAAATAAGCAAAGTGAATGCATACCAGAGTCATTCCTTTTACATACGTTCACAATGTTTTGGAAAGTCTTAAACCTAGATTTACAGTGTGTCAAACTACAGCTTGAAGCAAAAATAGTAGCAAAACAGCTGAACTTAATGTCACTGTAATTCCTTTTACTCTGGACCACTGTCACTGATTTCAGCTAACTTTATTCTCTTTTCCAGTACCTGCAATGGAGGCCAGTGGAGCTGCCAAGACATATCATGCCCAGGAGTATGTTCAGTAGAAGGAGGTTCACACATTTCCACATATGATAAAAAACATTACGATCACCATGGAGACTGCACTTATGTCCTTTCTAAGGTGGGAATCAGATATTAATAGGTCCTAAAGCCTTATACATTTATAGAAGAAAAGGTGATCTCAATCAACACTTTTGAAATTTACCTCTTTTGGTATACAGATGTTAACCTGCCTCTGACTTAGCCAGATGTTTACTAGAACATATACTGCTGTTCAAATGACAATCATCAGTTAACTGTTAGGATGTCATGCAATAGTATATGGTGTTTACTGGGGAATTTCCAGTTCTGTGATGTAGTAATTGCTGAAGAGCTTTGATTTTTTTAAGAACTTACTTAGTCTACATTCTTCAGTGTGATTAATCCAGCTTTCTTACTGAGTAATATATTTTTTGCCATGTTATTGTATTATAAAGTATTGGACCAAATGGTACAAGTCTGAAAAATTACACTAACAGTTCTAAAAAAAAATATATTTGAATTTATAAGACTAATATTTTTATTTCATTTCTGGGAACTTCAAATACAGAAAATCGGTTCAAGTCAACTGATACATTTAATTTAGGTTTTGAACATTTTAAAACAGATTCAAAAATAAGTCAAAAGGAACAGAAAAATTAGAAGTTAATTATAATAAAAATATTTAATTACAGCAACGTCCAAGTGAAATGTTTTGATCTTTTAGGGGATTTTTCTGTTTGTTCTTTGCTTTGTTTTTTCCCCATCTGTACAATTCAGTAAAAAAAAAAAAGCTCTACAATACTGTTTACCGAAAATTTTGAAATTTTTCTCTGGCATTGATACAAGCTACAGAAAGATGAGAGTTACAGTAGAATTGAATCAAACAGAAGTGGGCATGAATAAAAACTCTAAATATGGATATCATCAATAAAAAGCAAAACCAGATTCTCTCATCATTCCTAATCATAGAAAAAGCAGAAATGAATCTTAGGCCAAAGAACGTCTGGGATTTGGGAGAGTCTGTGTCTTCTCCAGAGATGGAAATATGTTTTTCAGAGTTGAGAGAAAACTTTACAGGGAAAGCTTCTGTAACTAGCCTTTAATGAAATAACTGTTGGCATTTTTTTTCAGCACTGTAAAGGTGAAATCTTCACCATCCTGGTAGAACTGCGCAAATGTGGCCTAACAGACACAGAGACATGCTTAAAGACAGTGACCCTCAACATGAATAAAGGACAAACTGTAAGAATGTAAAATAAGCATGGGAAACGACTATTAAAAACATGGGGAGCAAGGAAGCTAGGCCTTAATCAGTCAGCAAATTGCATTTCTCTCTCAAATGGTCAGCATATGTGAAAGTACATGATACTTTTAATCAAGTGAAAAGAAATTTATTGTGTTATGAAAATCAGATCAGCTCTAAATTTGGCATTGTGAAAGTTCATTAAGAAAAACATTGTACTCACAAAGCAGAAAAAAAGCTATTTTATCTGCGAATTAGGTAAAAAAAACATGAGCTTCTAGGTTAGAAACTACAAGTACAACAGTAAGGAATGTAATTCATCACAAAGACATGTTCAGAGAAACCAAAAAGACTCAATTTCCTAATGAGTTGAGAAAGTCTCTTTAAAAATAATTCTTTCATGGAGGGGAAAATTAGTGAAGTGTAAAAAGTGTAAAGAAGGAGGAGGTGAAATCACAAAAAAACTCCCCTTTTTATTTAATACCTTTTTAATTAATATCACTGGACTCGTCACCATTATTACTCTTTGGACTATAATTTTCCTTCACACAGTTGCCTCTTGTTTTCTTCCTTATCAGCTCATTGAGGTCAAACCTGATGGTGGTGTGTTTGTGAACTCAATCTACACCCAGCTGCCCTTCTCAGCAGGTATTTATTTCCTTAACAGTCCGTGAGCAATAAGCTTAGAACTTCAACTCCACACGTGCTTATTTTCTTAAACTATGGAAGATAAAAGGACTGTGATTTGTTCAGAACCTGCATGTTCACAACTTGGTTCTCTTTGGGGTATTTCCGGAGTCACACAAGTGCTTTTGAAGTAGAAGTGGGAAGTTTGGTGTGATAAAGACATGGGAGACAGTACAAGCATAGGCAAGAGTTCAAACAGAAACAAACAGCATTTACACTGTCCTGATTTGATCACTGTAAGGTTTACTTCCTTCTCGCTGTGCAAAATGGAACACAGAAGATATCTTTTCACCTCTTTTTTCTTTTTTTTTTTTAGCTTACCACCCCTGTTCTCACACTTCCTCAGACGGAAATTTGATTTTTGCTCTCTGTCTCAGTAGCTAATGATTCTATCCAATATCTCTGATCTCCAGACCTGATTAGCATCCCTCTCCAGTGGAGTGAGGGCTCCAATGTATGCTGTACAAGCTTAGAAACAAAAATAGAAATATTCTTTTTAACACTTAGTGCCATACAGTTTTTCCTTCTTGTTCTCTTGGAAGGAGTAATCTCTGACTGCTTAATATTGAGACAGCAAATAAAGTTAGAAACTTGGTAACTAAAAGCAAATTCCAAACTGTAAATTTTAATTTATATTTCTGATCCATTTTTAAAAAGGTTGCCTTTATTTCGCCTCAGAATTTGCAGCAATTGCAATAGGAAGTCAAGAAGAATAGTATAATGATGCACTGTTTCCAGCATTCAACCTCATTCTGTTTTTCATCTGTAGCTAATGCCACTGTGTTCAGACCTTCATCATTCTTCATCATCATGCAAACAAAGCTTGGTGTCCACCTTGAAGTCCAAATCACACCCATCATGCAAGTATTTGTGCGTCTGGATCCTATTTTCAAAGACCAGACCTGCGGTAAGTGAATAGAATATAAGAACATTTTGCTTAATGTCTTTTGCCTAATATGAGCAGTCTAAAATCTTCACTGCTTTTCAACAGGTCTCTGTGGAAATTTCAATAATATCCAAACTGATGACTTCAAGGCCATAAGTGGAATAATTGAAGGAACAGCAACAGCATTTGCTAATACGTGGAGAACTCAGGCTTCATGCCCTAGTATCCAGCACAGTTTTGAGAACCCTTGTGCACTCAGCATTGATAATGGTGCGTGCTTCTTAGAATTTTTTTTTTTTTTTGCTCATCCCTAAGGAAAATATATGTGTTAGAAAGTAAAGATAGAATAAACACTTATATACTTGATAAAAACATACATCTGAAATCAGAAACAAATATTCAAAATGAAAGCACTAGGGATAAGTAACAAAGTAAAGGGACAATCATAAAAACATAACTGAAGGAAACTGAAACATCATTGAAAACAGAGAGGATGTCTAAGATGACAACTTGGTGCCAGAGGAGTGGAGTTATCAGGAGTTATCTTTGGAAATCTTTTATTCATCCCCTTCAGCAAGTCCTCTTCTTTGGTGTTAGGAACCTTAGCCCACAAGATGAGGAGAATGAGAGATTGGATGTAATTTCAGAACTGGCTTCATAGACCAGGACAGTGTGGTTTTGTGACTAATGAAACACAAAGTAATGTGCATTTGCATTGTTTGTTCTCTTCACAGAAAAATATGCTCAGCATTGGTGTGGACTACTGACTGACAGCAAAGGACCTTTTGCTGATTGTCACTATGCAGTGAACCCCTCTGTTTACCACACGGTACTTTGTTAGACTGTTTTTCCCTTTAGAAACAATAGAAATAGTATTACAACTAGCTGCCAGAAAAGGACTGTTCTAGACATGTCTTCTCTTGTCTTACATAATGCCTGTATTTTCATTTTGGTACTGCAGCACTTCCTTCTTTCAACATGCATTTCTGTTTGTGTAGTAACATTACCTTATTTCAATTGTCACTCTTGGCTTCAAGATCCTGACTTGCTTCCAAATGAGAAGGCAGCTCTTTACTCCCGGATGGATATATGCACAGAGTAGAAAGTGTATGTAAAGGCATGTCAAACGTTTGTTTCAATATCAGTGAATCATTGTCCCATCAGCCTCATATCTCATCAGTAACTGCTTGGCACAGAAAGCCCATTAGATAATTATCATCATTCTGCTATCAGTGTGTTGCCTATCTTTCTTCTCACTATGAATCATGCAGGAGTGAACACTGGCGAAATGATGTGTCTACACTAAGTACTTTGAATAGAGCTTTGTATGCTATTGTGCAGCATATTCGTAAATATGGTTCAGAGGAATATGAAGCTGTTAAATGTATAAGAGACTTTAAAACCACTATTTCCCAATAGCTACAGACATCAACCAAATTTCCATTACCTTCATTCTACCCTGCCAGGAAACTTAGACAAAGACTGGAAACTGATAAAGCTACGTTAGTCTTGTCTATGAGTGAGCATATCTGAAGAAGGATTAGTGCGTAAGAGCAGAAAGATAACATTTGTGGTTTTTTAGATTGACAATATTACCAGTACTGAGACTTTCTTTTTCTCTGCATTCTTAGAACTGCATGTTTGACACATGTAACTGTGAAAATAGTGAGGACTGTCTGTGTGCAGCCCTGTCTTCCTATGTGAGAGCTTGTGCTGCAAAAGGAATACAGCTGTATGGATGGAGGACTGATGTCTGCTGTAAGTACTCTTAACTATGCCCTTTCCTAAGAACATATATCAATAAAAACTGCTGATCAGCAATTATTTTATACTGATTTCTAAAAAAATACAGTAAGTGTTGAGGAAGGGATTTTGTTAAGTGCACTCCTGGAAGTAATTCTCTGTCGTTCCCTTAGAATCAATCCATTGCTAGCAAGAGCAAATATGAATAGATGAGAGACAGCTTGCTTGTGAAAGAGACTGCTATTATGGAAGTGCCTCCACCTATTTCTGTGCAACTTTGAATTTCACTATAGCTTTATGTATCACAAGTTATTGCAGAGAAAATGTGACATATCAGAATAACAGTACCAGTAATACTAACCAGAACACTTTCAAATGAAAAGGTCTCTGAAGATGCATGCTGGGTTCCACTGACCCAGTAGGGCTGTTTTCAGCATACCAGGAGACATTCAGGGAAATATCTTGCCTTGTACTACAAAAGGTTTAGAAGTCTTGGCAATGAATGGCAGCATCAAAAGGAGGTTTCTTTCTGAAATGTCGTTTAAAAAAATATTTTCTTCTTTGTGTGTATCACTCATTCCACATGTATAGTAGCTTTTCAGGTCTAACTCTGGAAGTATTCAGAAATACATTTACATGAAAGATGCAACATAGGCAGAGGTGTACAGTATTGTTTACATATTATTTCTACTGCATGTGGTTTCTTTTTTCCCACCAGAAATTAATAAACCTATTCTATTTCCCTCTCTTAAGCAAAATACACCACCTCATGTCCCAAATCCCTAAGCTACAGCTATACCATCTCTTCCTGCCAACCCACTTGTCGGTCTCTGAGTGAGCCTGATGTCACATGCAACATTAAGTTTGTCCCAGTTGATGGCTGCACCTGTGTAAATGGAACCTACATGGATGAAAGTGGCAAATGTGTGCCTGCTAATGAATGCCCCTGCTACTACAGAGGATCTCCCATACCATTTGGAGAAGTTGTCAATGAAAATGGGCTTGTATGGTAAGTGGATCTTTTGCAAAATGCTCAATCAATAGTATATGTATTTTCTCATTGAAATATGCTGCATTTAAACTGGTCTCACCCTGCTTTGCCTGAATTTCAAAACAATGGTCTTCATTTTTTTCAACTGCATTTTCAACTTTTAAGAATGGTACATATTCCCCTGAGCTGGAAGACAGGGATGGGGAGCAGAATGAAACCTCTATAATACAAGAGGAAGTGGTTGGTGACCTGCTACACCTCTTAGACACACACAAGTCTATGGGGTTGGATGGGAGCCACCCAGGGCTGGAAGGAGGATCCAAGAAGCTACAGGCTTGCCAGCCTGACCTTGGTGCTGGGGAAGGTTATGGAGCAGATCATCCTGAGTGCCATGACGTGGCACGTACAGGACAACAAGGTGATCAGGCCCAGTCAGCAGGGGTTTAGGAAGGGAAGGTCTTGCTTGACTAACCTGATCTCCTTCTATATGACAAGGTGACCTGCACAGTGAATGAGGGAAAGGCTGTGGATGTTGTTTACCCGGACTTTAGTAAGGCTTTTGACACCCATTTCCCACAGCGTTTTCCTGGAGAAACTGGATGCTCATGCCCTGGCTGGGCATACTCATCACTGGGTAAAAAACTGGCTGGATGGCCAGGCCCAAAGAGTTGTAGTGAATAGAGTTAAATCCAGGTGGTGGCCAGTCACAAGTGGTGTTCCCCAGGGTTCAGTATTGGGTCCAGTTCTGTTTAGTACATTTATCAATGACCTGGACAAGGGGATCGAGTGTACCTTCAGTAAGTTCGCAGACAACACCAAGTTAGGCGGGAGTGTTGATCTGCTTGAGGGTAGGAAGGCTCTACAGAGGGATCTGGACAGGCTGGATCAATGGGCCTATTGCCTGAGACTCCACAAGGCCAAGTGCCAGGTCCTGCACTTGGGTCACAACATCCCCATGCTATGCTACAGGCTTGGGGAAGAGTGGCTGGAATCATAGAATAGTTTGGGTTGGAAGCGACATTAGAGATCATCTAGTTCCAACTCCCCTTTCATGGGCACGGACACCTTCCACTAGACCAGGGTACTCAAAGCCCCATCCAACCTGGCCTTGAACATTCCAGGGATGGGGCATCCACAACTTCTCTGGGCAACCTGTTCCAGTGTCTCACCACCCTCGCAGTAAAGAATTTCTTCCCACTGTCTAGTCTAAATCTACCCTCTCAGTTTTAAACCGTTACCTTTCATCCTATCACTACACTCCCTGATAAGGAGCTGCCCAGTGGAAAAGGACCTTGGGGTGTTGTGCGACAGCCACCTGAATATGAGCCAGCAGCGTGCCTAGGTATTGGAAGGCCAGTAGCATCCTGGTCTGTATCAGAAATAGTGTGGCCAGCAGCACTAGGGGAGTGATTGTCCAGCTGTACTCAGCACTGGTAAGGCGCCACCTCAAATACTGTGTTCAGTTTTGGGCCCGCCTCTACAAGAAAGACATTGAGTTGCTGGAGCATGTCCAGAGAAAGGCAACAAAGCTGGTGAAAGGTCTAGAGCATAAGTCTTATCAAGAGTGGCTGAAGGAATGGGGTTGTTTAGGCTGGAGAAAAGGAGGCTCAGGGGAGACCTTATCGATTATTACCTTATTATTACCTGAAAGGAGGTTGTGGCCAGGTGAGTGTCGGTCTCTTCTCCCAAGTAACAAGAGATAGGACAAGAGGAAGTGGCCTCAAGTTGAACCAGGGGAGGTTTAGATTGTGTATTATGAAAAATTGGGTATTATGAAAAATTTCTTTACTGAAAGCATTGTCAAGCATTGGAACAGGCTCCCCAGGGAAGTTGTGGAGTCACCATCCCTGGAGGTATGTAAAAGTTGTGTACATGTGGTGCTTAGGGAGATGGTTTAGTGGTGGACTTGGCAGTGTTCAGTTTACAGTTGGACTTGATGATCTTAATGGTCTTTGCCAACCTACGTGATTCTACAATTCTATGATATTTCCAGATTGCTTAAGCAATTGTATTTAGGTGCATTTTCTATTTACTTCCATGATTTTTCAAGCATAAAATTATGACAACACCAGCAAGGAGAGATTTTAAGTAAGTAACAAGCAGAGACATATACTCATTTCAACCTATGATTTTTCCTGTTAAGCAATAATGAATATCATATGAAAGCCACACTGGTAGTGGTATTGAGGGAAATTCTTTCCTGAAACTGCAAAACAGCTTTCTGGAATTCCTTCAAAAATTCTGAAGCTTGAGAAGAGAGAAGTAGCTCTCTGTTGCAATACATGGTCTGAGAAGGAAAAAAATATGTTTTTCTCTCTCATACAGCACTTGCATCCAGGGAAGACTGAATTGCATTGGAGCACCCAATCCAACTCCAGGTAAAAAAACCTTTCACTTATCTTTTGCTCTGTGCCAGGGTTTGGACAGAAATAGTTGATAGAGTTGATTTTTCTTAATGGGTTTTTAAATAATACAATTATTTCTCATTTAGTTATAGTGCAACAGTTATCATAAAAGGCAGGAGAGAAACTAGATTAATTATAAGACCTCGTTTTCATAAAGATTTTTTTCTGAAATACTGTGGAGTTTTTTTCTGGGAATTGGGTGCTATGAAATTAATCTATTTAGCAGATTGAATAGGAACAGCAATCCCTACTAACAGAAATACGCAATTTCCAAGGAATTTCTAGATGGTTTTAATGGCTACAACTGTGGGATAAACCATATGCCATTTCTTACTCCTCTCACTTCTTTCCTTCCTCTAGTCTGTGACTCTCCTATGGTCTACTTTGATTGTAAAAACATCACTGCAGGAACAATTGGAGCAGAATGTCAAAAAAGTTGCCAAACTCTGGATATGCAGTGTGTAAGTATGTCATGGCTAGATGAGATGTTGCTTCCAGGTTTTGTCTGTGCTCTTGGTGCTAAAGTAATTGATCTATCTGATGTACTCCAAATCTACAACATAGATACTTTGTTCTTGTAGCAAAAGCCTAAAACCATGTTGTGAAGCATTAACAATGGGACCTTTAGACCAAAATATAATACACTAACATCCAGTTTAATTCATGATTAGTGTCTACCTTTTTTCAGTTACTGCAGGTAACATTAATTAGCAGTAAAAATATCTAGGGCTCTGCCACACATTTTACTTCTTTAGGAGAAAATTACTGGCTACGAACTGGCTAGGAGAAATCATTCTTTCTCATACCTCGATGCAATTGTGAACTTCTTGCACATCTAATTATGTTACTCCACCCAGGTGCATGGTAGCCACATGCCATTTCGTGAATAAGTACCATATGAGATAAACAGATTTCAGTGTAACTAAACCAAACTGAAAAAAATATTACTTATTTTCTCTTTAAAGCTCCATTCAACCACAAATCACCCACTACAAAGTGCAAGGCTTCTTCAACTAACACAGAGAAAGACTTAAGATTAACGTATTTCAAATTTCACAGTCTCCAGCAGAGCAATCAGGACTGACATACATAAAATATTTAACAGATTTATATTCTGTTAAATCGATGGCTAATAACTTCCTTTTTGTTCATTTGTCCTGTAAGTACTTTGTAGTCCTCTCCCATTTAAGCTGGGCAGCACCAAGGCCATATAAAGATATTTTATGAGAATTTAATCCTCCTTTTTCTTTTGCGATTATTTCATTCTGAAATTATATCTTCCTCTTGACTTTTCCAGTATAGCACACAATGTATATCTGGTTGCATGTGCCCAGCTGGGCTTGTGTTAGATGGGAATGGTGGTTGTATTCCTGAAGAGGAATGTCCGTGTATTCACAATGAAGCCACTTATCAGCCTGGGGAAAAGATCAACGTTGACTGTAACACCTGGTAAATATTTCCTCAGAAGTACCATTCCTGGTTCCATCATTTGCCTTTCCAAAGATCTTAAATAGTACAGCAGTGAGGAAAGATTTGGATTGCACATTTCATCAATTCATGGATATTTTAGTTTTGGATTAAACATTATGAGCAGGTTTCCTTCTGATGTAGGCAGATGGCCAAAGCACAGAATGGGAGGAAATCTATGGGACCATAGTGTTTGTTAAGCATTATCCTATTTTGCAGTTAATGCATTCAGAGTAGCAGAACAGAATTTTGGTTTAATTCTTTACTGAAAAATGAAAAAGACTATTTTCACTCCAGAATCTGTATAGCATTTACCAGGCATGATTTGCCAAACAAATACTGAGTTGTTGGGATATTGTCTACATGAAGGAGTGAGTTGTTTTACTACTAAAATGTTTTATTCTCATTCCTAGTGTATGCAAGAATAGGAAGTGGGAATGCACCAAAGATCAGTGTCTGGGCACCTGTGCTGTTTATGGAGATGGTCATTATAATACCTTTGATGACAAAAGGTTCAGCTTCAATGGAAACTGTGAATATACACTAGTCCAGGTACTGGTAATCAGCAATAGTAAATGAGACATAACCTGGATCATGTCTACAAAAATGAAATCTATTTCTAAATGTTATTCTCTACCCAGGACCACTGTGGCACAGCCAATGGGACCTTCAGGGTTATCACTGAAAATATTCCCTGTGGCAACACTGGGACAACTTGCTCAAAATCTATCAAAGTTTTCTTAGAGGTAAGAAGGTTTTGCATACAAGTTTTCTTCTATATCTGTTTAGGGCTTAGGAGATGCCTAGATATCCATTGCTTCACAGAGGTTGGAAAAATACTTTAACAAGCAAATCAACTTGTAAATTAAGCTTAAATTAGATTCAAGTGAAATAATTGGTGGAGCTTCCCAGCTTTCTGTCTTTTCAATTTCCCACCCTATCTCATACCACTCTTGGGCAAACCACAGAACTACAGGAAAATTGTCTTTAGCAGAAATTTAGCCTATCAAGTCAGAAGATTATTTTGTCCTCTGCAATGTAGTTTCTCCATGACTACCAGAACACCGTTTTTTGACCTACATGCTTTTAAAATACCTTTTTATCACAGTTTTAGGAACTGAGATTTGAACTATATAGTTTTGATTTATTGCATTTGGATTATTTGTTTTCATTATATAAACTATTCATAGTACTCTTAAAAGCAGAAAAAGATCTTTAAGAACACAGCTGCAGCTATTGAGTTCATTTTTAATCATGTTTTCCTCCTGTTTCAGAGCTACGAACTGATACTTGGTGAGGAGCATGTCAGTGTCATAATGAGAGGACAAAATGATGAGGTGCCATACAGAGTCCGCTATATGGGTATGTACTTGGTAATTGAGACCACAAGCGGACTGATCCTCATGTGGGACAAGAAAACCAGCATCTTCATCAAGCTCAGCCCTGATTTTAAGGTGCGAAACTAGCAGTTAAATGGCAATTTACAGTCCAGATTTGGACTAGGTGTGAATTTTGTTGAGACCCTGCCGAGATCCCAAACAGGTGATGTCTCTAGCATTCATGCAGGACATGCCACGTCATTTCTCATTCTTCTGGTGCCTCAGGAAGCCCTGTCATCATCCTGCTGCTGCTCTGAGCTCTGAAGGCAGATTTCAGTGCCTATGTGGCCTCACAGAACTTGAGTTGGCCAACCGCTTTTTTGGACTAGACTTTGTTAAAATTACCCATTAAACCTTGGTAAAGGTTATCAGACCTTATTAAAACTACATAGCTACATGTGTAGAAATCCATTGAATAGTCTTGATCTTGAAAGTAATCCCTTGTTTCTGGTTCTCATTGTCACACAAGTCAAATTATCATCCTTCAAGAACAAGGAAGTGAAATATTATGAGTAAAAGCCTCTTGTAAAATGCTAACATGTATTTTTCAAGCATATATCTATACAGGTGATAAGGAAAATGTGTTCCTGTTGTCATACTCCTTGTCCTAGTTTATGATATATAAATACTAAGAACTGTAGTAAATAAGGAATTTGCTACCTTATTGTGTAGTGTAGTGGCATTTCAATTAGGTATATAAATGAAGTGTAATTTAGAGCTAAATATACAGATGTATTTCGGTATCATACATTCTTTTGCTTCCTCACCCACTGGCACTTTATAAAAGTAGCAGTAATGTGGAAAGTATGCACTTTAGATTGATAGAGAAAGCATAGTGTCTATTGTAGCCTATCACAGTTTTACAGATCCATAACTTTAGAATGAGGGATATTTCTGCATGTGCAAGGAAAATGACATTTCTTTATATACCTGTGAGCAATCGTAACAGTGAACAGTGAATGAGTAGACTATGTGGCTGGACTGGTAGTATTTATGATAGCTTTATAAGGATGGTTTTCATATGTACACCTATTGCATAAAACAAGGCTTAAATGAATAGCTTAGTTGGCTAACTGTGAGTCCTCGTTTCTTGTTAAAGACATACCTCAAAGACAGAAGGTTACAATGACAAAGATGGTTTTATTGTTCAGATTTAAAAGAAGAAAAGTCAACAGCAGTATCCTTCTAGCCTTAGTGGTCATATTCTGTTGCTGAGGAAACAAGGGATGAAGATGTTCAGGAATGTTTGAATGGAAGGGCACCATTCTAAGAGCTGAATTTCAAGTACTCTTTAAGTCTCAGATGTTGTTTCAAATTTTCTCACATCCATTATTATTCTATTTGCTTCCTTTCGCAGGGCCAGATCTGTGGCCTCTGTGGAAATTATGATGGCAACGGCATCAATGACTTTACTACAAGGAGTCAGTCTGTGGTAGAGAATGTCCTAGAGTTTGGAAACAGCTGGAAAGTATCCTCTACATGTCCTGATGCTTTTAGCGTAAAGGACCCATGTTCTACCAACCCTTATCGAAAGTCCTGGTCAGAGAAGCAGTGTAGCATCATCAACAGCAACGTCTTTGCTGCCTGTCACTCTCAGGTATTACCAGGGCAGAAGTTTACTGTGTGAAGACTAGGTCTGTGTATTATTAAAGCTGATATCCTCATACATTTTAACATGCATGCACAATTCATTAGCATGTTTCACTTTGAATTGCGTCAGGAAAACATCAATCTGAATCCCACTCAATGGGACAGATTTATAGTCCCTACCTGTAAGAAAAAAAAAGGACATGTACTTCATAGGAAATATTGACCGATTACAAAAGAATACTAATTTCAAAATTACGATGTATTTTCTTGAAGTGTGACTTGAATGAATATTCCCATATACCATGTACAGAACACAAGTTCAATGAAAATACAACATAGTAATGAACTACCAGCATAGTCTTTATCTGACACTAAATACATACCAAACAATGCAGGGTAACTCTGTTCTCTTCCTATTACCTTAGTTCTCTCCACTGGGAGAGGCCTTCATTTTCAAGTGCAGTTGCCTAATATTGCTTGGGAAGACAAATCTAATTTTCCACTAGGACGCAAGTCTGAGTGTCTAAAAATCTGTCAATATGTGATTTAGATGTATCATTTGGCATCATCTCTGTTTTTTAACAGTGTATATAAACAAAAGAAAAAGAAATTACTGATGTAGGCCTTTCTTCTGAGATATTACAATTTTAAGAAAATTACCTTAGCAAAGCTAAGATTTAGAAGGCAGGATGTATAGTATTACATTTCTTTTTAATAACAGGTTGAACCAGCAAAATATTACCAAGCATGTGTGACAGATGCTTGTGCATGTGACACAGGAGGAGACTGTGATTGCTTTTGTACAGCAGTAGCTGCCTATGCTCAAGCATGTAGTGAAGTTGGTGTCTGCATAGCCTGGAGAACCCCATCAATCTGTCGTGAGTTTTATGTCATAAACACTTCTTGTGAGATTGTAGTTAAATGTACAATGCCTTGCTGATGTCCTTGAACACACACTCTAGACATCTTATGTATGTGCATTATCATCTCACTGTGTAGACTTCTTACTCTAAGCGGTTTTGATGGCCACACACTTTCACCTATTTATTCAATGTTTTCAAGACTGTGCAAGCAGCATTGCAGGAATGTGATAAAGAGACATGAGTCAAAAAAGCTCTTTTTTTTTTTTTTCCTGAACATGCCCAAATTTCTGTCTCTCCTTAGCACTGTTCTGTGATTACTACAATCAACAAGGGGAATGTGAATGGCACTATAAGCCCTGTGGAGCCTCCTGTATGAAGACCTGTAGGAACCCAAGTGGAAAATGTCTCCATAACTTGCCAGGTTTAGAAGGTAAAAAGAGCTGCAAGTACCTTTAAGTGGGCATATTTTATTATATCTTTAATGGTCTTAATGGAGAATATTTCCCCCATCAGGTGCATTTGCACTATTCAATTTTCTTTGACATCATTGCATCTACATGACTGGAGGCAGAGTAGGGAAATTGGAGTTAAAAACATCTATAGTCCTTGCAGTTGGGCTCTGCTGATGCTAGTACTCCGCATTACTTCCTAGAATTACTGGAAAAATTTAAGTAGCAAAGGTTATGACTATTAGAAACAAGACCTGCAAAAACATTCTGCACAAATAAGACTTATACTGACTGTATGTCATTCTCACCTTGTCTACCTTTTATATGCCTTTTTCCTCCCTTCAGGCTGCTACCCTAACTGCCCACCAGACAAGCCGTATTTTCATGAGGATCAGATGAAGTGTGTCAGTCTCTGTGACTGTTATGATAATGAAGATGGAAAAATATATAGAAGAGATGAATGTAATTTATGGTAAGACTTAACATACCAGCCTAATTGTCTACAAGAAGAAATGATCAAAACGGCAGTAGGAAATTGCATGTTCCTGTTACGTGATAGGGCTAGTTTCTGCTGCCTGCATAAGAATAATGCCTTATTATCTAATACCAGTTTTCTTACTACATTAGTAGTAAGAAGTTCTTATGTGATTTTATTTTCTGCTGACTTTGTTCCTGATTATGTTGTAAATCCTCAGCATAAAGATATAACAAGAACAGTAAGTCCTTTATGACCAGACTTTCTCTAATTCCCATTCATGTGGCAGAAAAAATATGGTTCCAGGAGTATAGATATCTAATAGGAGTCTACTTCCAAGGCTTTTATTACATTCTTACACAGCTTGTAGTATTTAAACCCTTTCCCTTTGAAGCCTGCTTTTTAGTACAAAACCATTGCAAGTGCAAGGAAAGTGATAACAAGAAAGGAGGAAAGTCTTCCTTAAGACTTTTACCTGTAGGTTTGCATAATATTTAGCTTCACTTCAATTTATAAGTTTGGGTTTCATATAAAGAAAGATTTTGGAAAACAATGGCAAAGAAGAAGCCAACATGAACTGGACACTCAAGGAATAAACACAAATAAAGTGTCCTGTCTTTTGGAGCTAGTATCTGGCAGAAAGATGACTAATAAAATTGCCTCATAATCAAAAAAATGTGGTTTTTAATTTTTTTTTTTTTTATTTCAGTGAATGCACATCAGAAGGTTTACAATGCAAGTTTGATGATAAAGGTAAGACAGCTACGAAGAATAATTAAGAAAATTAAATACTGGATATTATCTTTTCATAGATGCCTGACAATAAACTTCTTCTGAATTACAGCATGCCACTGCATTTATGAAGGCAACAGCTATAAATATGGTGAACTCATCTACAACACCACAGATGGAACTGGATGGTGTTTCAGTGCAACATGCGACGTCAATGGAACAATTAACAGAAATATCTTTAAATGTGGCATCTTTACAACAACGCCATTTACATTTTCTACAAGTCAGCCCACAACTACTGCTTCAGGTACGCATGAATACTCTTTAAAATAATTCTGGAAGGGACTGAAAATAGCCTGAAAGGGAGGGCCTTTTCAGCAGTTAATGGCATATAATTTTACTTGAAACTGTTGATTTCTGCTAGAGCCATCTATTCATCTGGCAGCTTCAGCTGCTAAAGACAACCATAATCAAGGATGTAGAAATGAATTTCTTACAAACTCAATCTCCACTGTTTCACTATGGTGTTTCCAGGGGAAAAAAAATAATAGAGCTTATTAATCATTGCACCTTGAAGAATCTCCTCATTTCCCTGCAAATATAAACCAGCAGTTCTAGACCAACTTCTGAAGACACAAAAGGCGATTACTGCCATTTTTAAAATTACTGACCACATAAGCCCAAACTGAAAATAAGACTTTGAGTTTGAGGGAATGCTCACATTATTTCAAAACAGTCTTTGGAACCTTTCCTAATTGTATTTAGTAACCAAATCAACAGTTTCCTTCTACTCCTGCAGTACACTTCTACATTATTCCTGCAGTAACTCATTGTAGTGACTATGAAATTGTGAGAAATATTTCCACAAAATTATACAATACTACAGCAAGAACTGAACATTCAAATTTCAGTCTTCTATTAAGTAACTTTGATATGAAGAAAGTGGTATATATTCTGTGGTATATATTCCACAGGGTTATCTCCAAAATGCTAAGAATATGAAAAGAAATCTTATTAAAATAAGTAGAAGATACTTATTAGATTATATATTTCATATATATTGCATATGTCTATTCTATATTATAATGTATTATATAAAATGTGTTAAATATATATTTTCTATTTATAAGTATATTACATGTTACAAAATTAAAATAAGTAGAAAAGTCATTAACCTGTAAAAATATTTTAAAGACTTTGTGATTAAGTGTAACTACGTACAGACATAATACCAAGGAGAATAAAATGTTCTCTTACTTATACCATAGCAATTGTGAGAGCATATTAACTATGTATTGACATTCCACATGAAGGATATCACATTAGCTATATTAAACTACAATTTTTTAAAAAATGTCACATAAAACATCACTAGAAAAATAATACAGACATGACATCAAAACCTACCTTAGGCATGAAATTCAAGACTGTCAAAGTGAGGTCATTAAAATTAAAATAATATTTTAACATATATAATATTACATACAACATTAAAATGGATGGAAGATGAATATTTTTTTCCTGGCACTTTCTTTAATAAGAACAGGAAAGACGTGTATTTCTTCCTTCTAATTACAGAAATGACAACTGCAACACCAGCCACAACTGTATGTGTGAAGAATGTCTGTGCATGGTCAGAATGGTATGATTCCACGCAGCCTGAAAACAGAGAGGACAGTGGCGATTATGAAACGTTTGAAACACTCAGAGATAAAGGATACACTGTGTGTAAAAACCCAAAGAGTGTTCAATGCAGAGCCAAAGAACACCCAGATACAGAAATAAACAGTCTGAACCAAACAGTAGAATGTAGTGAAAGCAGAGGGTTAATATGCAATAACAAAGACCAACAATCTAAGAACTGCTATAATTATGAAATCAGAATATCATGCTGCAGCTATATACCATGTTCAGAAATACAAACGACAACACCAAGAACCACAGAAGAATTCGTAACAACTACTGCTGTAAAATCAACGCCAATTACATTACAGACGAAGATAAAACCAACAACACAAAACCAGGAAACGCAACCACAAAAAACCGAATTACCTACAGAGCCACCAAAAGACAGAGAAAGGACGACAACTCGGACTGAAACATCAGTTACAGCAAAGACATCACAGGTCTCAACAACAGGTTACCAAACCACGTCAACTCCAGTAGAAACCTCCACGGCGACAACCCTATCGCCAACATCACCCACTACCGCCTCCACTGCCCCTGAACAAAAAATAGAAACCACCGCTGGAACCACCGTTGTCCCCAGTACCACTGCCCCGCCAACACCAGGCACAACCACCATCACTACCACCAGCAGGGCCAGCACTACCAAGACCTCTCCACCTCCCACACAGGGAATAACCACCATCACAACACCACCACC